AGAGGCTCTTATTTTATATTCTAGCTTGTCGACATTGGTAAATTGAGTTTCTAATTCATTTGAAACTATAGACTTAGTATTTTAACTTCACAAACATCTAATTTGAGCCAGTGCTGCATTCAACATACCACATTACACACAAAAATCAATGTTTATCTGTGTTTTTTAATATTTGCTTTTAAATTTAAAAATTGAGTAATATATAGTACTAAAATTTGAATCCATAAATTCATGAAATAGTAGTTCAATAAAATTTTGAATGCGAGTCAACAAACTAGATGACATGGCCTTTCACTCATGACCCATCTTGAAAGGGTTAATCTGAATAACAAAAAACTAAAAATGGTCCTCTTTTACTCTCAGTTGAAGCTGTTGTAAAAATTTTAGACTGATTGCTCACATGACTTTTTGCATAGGTGTGTGCAAGAAATTTGGTCAAAATTTAGCAATTTATGTTGAATAACTTTGCACATGTGGTTTATATTTAGACCAAAATGTGACACCTAATTGTGGGTAATAAAGATCTATCAAATATAGTTTCCATACTTTCAGTGCAAAAAAAGAAAGGAAAACCTAGAACTACAATCAAAGTTGGAGATTTTATATCTCATGTAATTCTTAATGGATTGCCTTGAAATGTGGTATTTGAAGTATGGTCTAATAGAGCACATCCACTGAGAATATGCGATAGTTTGGATTACCACAGTCCAAGCTACAGAAAATGGAAAATCACTAAACCATCACTCCTGTTAATAACACATGGTGTGTACTGCAGGTTGTTTTGGCCACAAGACATATTACCATGTGTCTTGATAAGCTAAAAAACGTCATAATTCTAGTGTAAACAATATTATTATAACATCTTGAAGTTAGCTTAAGTACAGGTGAAACAAGAATTACCAGCCAGTAATAGATGAACATTAGATGACTGTAACATGTACATACTCAATGCTTTGTACACTATACAATCATGTCTTTAGGTAGCCAACCCCTATATTATGTATGAAGTGAAGGAGTAGTAAAAAAATCAGTATACATAATATTAAATTTGAGTACACGTGTTTGTAGAATAATTACTTTAAAAGACAAAGATTTGTTTAAATTGATGTTTTAGACATACATGTTTTACTTGAAAAGGCTGATTTTCTACTGGGAAAAATTTTAACATGCTTAGTGGAGGTTGTGTCTTAGTCTAGGCATATATTTGCCCTTTTCTATGCATTATATTTAGAGAATTTAGTTACACAGAAACTATAAATGCTCACTATATTCTCAAACAAATCTCCAGCTGCAGCTTAACATTTTACTACATCTTGAACTAATGCGACCAAATAGTCAGTAGCTACAGTAAATCATCATGAACCGTATCAGCTAGCTACAATGCTATTACCTAGAATTATATTTGGTGGAATCAAAACAGGGATTTGTAGTTTGATTAAATAATGTCTACAGTATCTTCTGCTTTGTTTCCTCACTTTTTTTTTACGATCGCTATTTGCAGGTTTTAAATTTCCATTTTTTTTTATATTGGTTGTTTTATAATGAAAAATGCAGTATAAGGTTTGTTTTTTCTTGGCCAATAGTTCAGAATATTTCAAACTTTTCTTCAAGTTCATATTGTAGGATCAGTTTCCTTTGAAGTAGTGTTATCATCAGTACATTGTACTTGAATCAACAAAATCCATATCATTCAATTTACTGTAATCTCAAAATTTCATTAGTTTTTGTTATGTATATATTACATATACTGTGAACTTCATATGATGTTTTTCATTTTTTGGTAGACATGAAATCGTAAATGTTAATTTTCTTATCCATATATTTATATTATGAAAGCATTGTTTTGAAAAAGTGAATGTATCCTAACAATCAAATATTAGTATTATTATCTTATAATGTTAAATTAAATTGTAGTGGTTAAATTTGTTAAGCAATACTGCTACTGTAAACTGGAATTTTTTAATAAAACAACATTTCTATTATGGTACAGATGTTTTTTGTGATACGCCTTCATTCAGCACAAGCAGCTGCTAATCTACCTCCAACCCAGGAACCAGATCCCCTTATTAATTGTGATTTGATGGATGGTAGAGACACATTTCTTACTATAGCTAGAGAAAAGCATTATGAATTTTCTTCCCTTCGTCGTTGCAAATTTTCAACAATGGCAATGTTGTATGAGCTTCATAATCAAGGACAGGATCGCTTTGTATATACATGTAATAACTGTAAGACTCATGTGGAGACACGATACCACTGTACAGTTTGTGATGTAAGTACTTTAGTCACAAGTGCGTCTCCATTGTACAGTATTAAACTCAGATACCATTGATGCAGTGATAGAAAAAATATTCAAAAAATTTACAGATCATCCATGTGAAATTGAAAATGAATAAATAAAAAATAATACACAAAACTTTAACTTCATATTAGAAAAAAAAATTGAAGGTGCCAATTTGTATGAATAAAACAAGCATAGAAGATTCTTGCATTTTTTTTCTTCACAAGGCAAATAAGCTGAATACAGTTATATATATGATAATAGTGTCATCTGTTAGTTTACTAAAAACTAGTTATTGATAAATTAAACATTTGTCAAATGTATTTTTACTTGTGGTATTATTCATAAACATGAGCATTTTGATACTTAGAATATACATGTAAAAGTGTTAAAATATACTTCTTTATAATTGTTCTTAAAAAGGGTTTCAATTTGCTAAAATATTTCCTAAAGTTACATAATTATAATAATTTATTCTTCTGTTTCAACAATAGGATTTTGATCTTTGTGTTACCTGCTTTGACAAAAATGGTCATCCTCATAAAATGGAGAAACTTGGGTTTGACTTGGATGATGGCTCAACTCCCACTGATCAGAAGCAAACTACTCCACAGGAGTCAAGAAGATTGTCCATTCAAAGATGTAACCAGTCATTGGTCCATGCTTGTCAGTGCAGAGATGCCAATTGCCGGCTGCCCAGTTGTCAGAAGATGAAACGAGTTGTCCAGCATGCCAAAATGTGCAAGCGAAAGACAAATGGTGGTTGTCCTATCTGCAAGCAACTCATTGCTTTATGCTGTTATCATGCAAAGCATTGTCAGGTAAGAATGTTAGTGGCCATATGTTTAAAGCTGTATTGACGCCACAAATACACTCATTCTAAGGTCTTAAGACACATTGGTTTTTAAAATAGTAAATTAGTTAAAGTATCTAAGATTAAAATTTTAAAAAATGGTTTTAAAGAGTGTTCTAATTACCTAGTGTAGGTAATCAAAACTTTTTTTTATTTCTATTTTTTGTGCAGTGTGTCTTGTTAAAGTTTATGTATTGTTTTAAGTAATGTAAGATGTTTACATTTTAAATTGCAAGATATATTGTAAAAAAAAATGAATAGTAGGAGAGGGATACTGACATTTCTAATAAATATTTAGTAGCTGCTGATGAGTTATTAGCTTTTAAAATTAATTATAAATGTTGTATCTACAAAATTTCATTACATTCCCATCAAGTGTTAGATGGGAGACTATATGTAGTTAAATTTATGAATTTTATTTATTTTTTGTTTTACATGTTAGATCAGAACATAGCTTGAGATTTTTTTTTTCTCAGTCATTTATAGATATTATTTCTATCCAACTAAATGTAATAAAAATTATTATGCATGTTTTTTTAATTGGAACTTCAACTTTTAAAAACAAATGTTTTTCTTCTGCCATTTAGGAAGCTAAGTGTCCTGTTCCATTCTGCTTGAATATCAAATACAAACTTAGACAGCAACAACTTCAACAAAGGGTACAGCAAGCTCAAATATTACGAAGACGAATTGCTAGCATGGCAACAATGCAGAACCGTGGAATGCCAAGTCAACTCCCACAAGCTAGTCCAGGAGGTCCCACTACATCAAATCAGACATCTCCAATTCCTCAGCCACACACCTCTCCTCACCATTCTCAGTCTGGAATTGGTGTAAAACCTACTACCACTGGTCCTCCAGTTGGTGCACTTCAAGCCGTCCAGGCAGTTCAAGCAGCAGCTGCAAGACAACAGGCACCTCACATTGTAGCTGCTGGAAGCTATGGAAAAGGTAATCCTATAGTTACTACAGCAGCTTGTGGACCAGTTTTACTGCCTTCCAGCCAGCCCCATCATCAAAACCAGAAGCCTGTTGGACAAATGGCATCTTCCATGGGAACTAGAGTTACCAACGTTGGAGCTCTAAAACACTGGGAAAATAACTACAGTCAACAAGGGTCCACTCCCATTCAACCGCAGCATTCACCACAGCCAGAACAAGTTGGTCTTCGACAGACTGGCCAAGTATTAGTGCCTGGCTCTGGAAGTCCCACAGTTATGGGCCCTCCTCAAGGTGCAGCAGGTCAGTCTCTTGGAATTCAAAGACCTTCTCAGTTACCCCAAGGTTTGCCACAGTTGTTGCAGATGTTGAAGTCTCCAACTTCTCCACATCAGCAGCAACAAGTATTGCAGATTTTAAAAACTAGTCCTCAGTTAATGGCTTATTTTATCAAGCAGAGAACTGCCCAACAACAAGCTCAGCAGCAAGCACAACAGCAACAAATGATGGTTACTAGCCAAGGAAATATTGTTGGTGCTACTCAACCAAGCCAACTGACACAACAACAACAGTGGTTTCAGAAGCAACAGTTATTGGCAATGCAAAGAAAGCAGCAGCAACAACAACAACAACAGGGACAGTTTTCCCAACCCCAGTCTCCTGTGTATGCCCAGTGTCAGCGTCCATCCCATCCAATGAACTTCAATCCTCATCAACAAAATTTTCAAACTGATAGTGCTGGGCAATTTACACAATATCAGCAGCAACAACAAATACTTATGCAGCCTCACCAAGTACAGCAACTGAAACAACATATGACATCACCAAACCATTCCCCCATGAGTCCACAGCAAGGACTGATGGGACATCCTCAGTCATCACACCAATTAATGCAGACTGGACGGTCACCCCCATCCACTACTGCTCAACTGGTACAGGCTGTAAGATCCCCACAGCCTATTACTTCACCCAGAAGTCAACCTCCAACACAGCAGACTCAACCAGTTTCTTCCCCGCGACAACAGCTTGTACACTCTCCTCATTATCCATCTCAGACACATTCCCCTCATCCAGGCATCTCTATAGCTAGTGGAACACCTTCGCTCCCTGGGCATGATCTGATGACATCCAACAATGACATGATGCTTACTCAATTCTCCAAACCTGTTTCAACTCACAGTAGCCTAACCGGCCAGTTACAGAGTCCTACAAGTCAAGATCTAGGACTTTCAAGGAATGACTCTGATATAACTCGGCTGACACCACAAGAACAGCTGAGTAATTATGTGGATAATTTGTAGTCATTATTGCCCTTAGTGGTAATTTTGTGTGATGAACTATTTAAATACTGTAACCTTGAACTTACTTTGGCAGAAAATACTGCCTCGGCAGTGTTGGTGTTTTAATAATGTAATTTTTTTACCTGATGTGTTGAAAATGTCATCGGAACTGCTCACGCAATTTAGGACAGTGATGTAGCATGTAATTTTTTTTCTACAGAGATAAGCCTTATATACCCATGCTGTGTTAATAATGTGCAGTTTTTGTATAGTTGCAACATGAATTTATCAGTACAGATGTTATTGTATCATTGAAAATATTATTTCGAAGTAATTTTTCTAGTTTTAATTCTAGGGTGGTAGCTGTCTTTTTCATTTGTAGTTTCATATTACTTTAATATGATTTAATGATCCCAATCATGCATGTGTCCATAAAATAGAAATTAACACAATGTAAAACAGAATAGAAAACATCACATTTATACATTAAGCAAGTTGTATCAAAGCTCACATCTAGCCATTATTATGCAACTCCCTTAACAATGAAAAAGTAAAAATTATTGAACATTTATAAACATTTGGATTAAAGTTAACTTTTCCGATAAAGTTACACATAACTTACAAACTGTTTTCTTTAGTACATGATAATAGGGAGACATTCCAGTCATTACCCAAAAGAATCATTTTGCTGTGATGTGGGAAGTCAACATTGAACTGGTTTATGTGAAAAAGACGTGTTGTCTTTATGGTACAAAGTAAACCTGCCTTTTTCTCATCTAGGTTCTTGTTCTCTTAAAAACTTCAGTTTAATAGTTGTTGATGAGACTTGCTAAATGGGCCAAATAATATTTGAGATAAAAGATACTTCTGCCATAGTTCAGTAGATCCTTAGCATAAATGGAGAGCTGTATAAGGTTTGTCATTCAGCTTTACTCGGTTTATATCTGATTTTCTGATGATCATAGATTTTAAATTGTTTCATTTTCAAAAATAATGTTTCATTTCTGATTGTGTGTGTGAGTAATGTACACTGATCAGTTTAGGTTTCAGAATGGTCTGATAGAGCATTGTATATAGTGTACACATTTTGAATGGCCCTGTTTAAATAAAAACTATAAAGTAAGTGCTAATGTCGAAATGTTGTTGAGAATTGGCTTATAAAATATTTGTAACATGAGTTAATCCAAGAATTATTGATGGGATCTGTGTAGACCCCATTGGCTCTTTTAATCAGTTTTAAACTATGTGTGCACCTAATGAGTTGTTGATCTGTGACTTTTGGTGTACAAGTCTATAATAACATATGAATTGAACAGAAATACCAATATTATGGTTGATTCTACTAATTACAATTGGGGTTTCCCAAGTATTTTAGTGATTTTGCTTAATTTTTGTGGTTAGTTCTTTACACTGAGTATTGTGACAGGCAAAAGCATAAAATTATCCAAAATGAAGCAATATATGGACCCTACTGGTAGTGAATAGTGTAAAAAACAACAATTTTAAGTTTATTCATAAAATATTTGTATATTGTATAAAAAATATAGCCCTTATAGATTAGTTTTAATTCACAGACATTCACATCTCAGAGAAATGGGAGTTTTATACCAGTTATGTAATATTTCTTAAAACCAACATAAATGTCATAAAACTTCATTTGTAACTTGTTTTTACTTCTAGAATTACATTGTTGAGGTGTTTTTATTTGCAGAATCTTAAAGAAAACAAGAACAAATCCTTTTTTCTGAAAGGAAAAGTTAATAAGGGTTACAAACATAGTCCATTTCTATTCCAATAGATTTTCAAATGGCCAACACAGAACTAATTTTTTTTAATGACTTGTTACTTCATATGACATGGCTTGTAAAGAAAATCTCTGGTTGAGTGGAATACTAGAACAGGATACCTGAATCAAAAGCCCTAATAGTTGCAAAATGATACACTGTTTTAAGCAGCAACCGTTTTAGGTACGAATGGTCAGGTCAATTATGGACTGTTTTTATTTTAGTTTTTAAAGAAATGATGTAGGTTTAAGGATTTGATTTTACTGTCTTGTAATACATTCACAAAAGTTAACAAAACTAGTTTGGGAGAATGCATTACAAACGTGTGTGTGTGTGTGTATTTGTTAAGTGCTTCTGGAATGAATTTAAAAATGGATGAAAGAGGGTAGCACAGACAAGAAACAACGTATTTGTGTTGCTGACGTTTTTTAGTTTTAATTAACGATACTGAGTTAAGTGAAAATTGTGATAACAAACATTTATGTTTTCAATTGTATTTGCGAAAAAGTTGCCACCTACAGAAACAAGCACGACTACATCAGAACTGCACAAATAAAAAAACAGTGGATGCAAGTAATCCTAAAGATTAAATATTCTGTTATTGTAAAAAGAATACTTAAAGATGCCAGACAATAATTAGAGCTAATTTTAATCCTTTGATCAGATATTATACCTTTAAAGAGAAGTCATTCTCTCACAAGCACTTGCGACATACCACGCCCATCCATTTTTGTCTTCTCAGCAAAGCTTATTTGTACTTATAACAACAACTTATTTATATTTTTCAAATTAGGTTAACCATTCAATACCATACAAAATTAAATTACTCTAAATATGCAACTTTGTAGTTAAAATTAGAATTATTAATGTTTGGTGAAGAAAAGAAAATGTTATAGATTCATATGGCTTGATCCACCATCGTTATTTATGGGATAATCTTCGAAATTTAGTACAGTTGAAAAATAAAATAAACATGTGATGAGCGATTGATTCTCTTCCTTTTAGATGGTAAATGTGATGGCATATATTAATAATGGAAGTTTTTTTTTAACGTATAATTCATAACTGAGCTAACACAGGCTCATTAAGAAAACTGTTGATTATGACATCCACAGTCGAAATGTATTTTTACAAATTTGCGCATGCTTCAACCATATGCACATACAACCTTATGATTTCTAAATGGCTAAAATAATGTTTCACATTTGACTATGGATGTTGTTTTTATCAAAAAATAAACGTTACTGAGGTACATGGCTCAGAAAGGAGTGAAGTTGAAATTATATTATGCACTGTTTTTGCTGTAATAATTAAAACCCTCACTTGACCTATTAAGACTAAATTTTGTTAAAATGTTTAGATATCGTATTATTGAACTTTCTTTTTGTGGTTTAACAGTCGAAGCTATTACGTGGAGTGATACCAACTTTATAGAAAAAAAATCATCAGTGTTAGAAATTAGAAACCGTGATATTTAGCATAGTGGGGTTTTACGACTGTGTTCAACCTGTTTACTGTTTTTTTTTTGTGTTTTTTTTAATTTATCTTAAAGGTGTAAGAACATTGGGCTTGCAACATTAGTATTATGTAGCTTTTCATTAATGGTTCATGATAATACATGCGTACGCCAGCTAACACTTATAAGAGTGCAGCAGTAAAAACAAACGTGAAATTACGATAAACGTATTAAGGGTAAATACTTCTACGGTTGTTAGATGTAGTTATTGGAACAACTTTCAGAAAATAAACCCTTCAAGTTAAAGAGTCAAAGAATAAAGTACATTTGAAATTACGTTATAACTAGTGCGTTGCAGGGCATGGTCTATTGGTTAGCATGCCTGACTGCCTATTGAAAGGATTAATATTCGATCCATAATATGCCGCTGAACACGCACCGCACTTTTAGTTATGGTGACGTTATAACTATCCATATAAGCAGGTGATGGGATATGGTACTGATGACTTGTTGCACTACATTTGATAAGCAATTTTAAATTAGAAATGGTCTTGCCTGAAGCTTGTGGTCTGAGACATATCCGTTTAGCCCATGTGTCACATAAGGTGTGGTTAAGTTTGCAAATATCTTCAAGGATACACTCGAAACTACAACATTTGCTGGTAAACTATCTGAGAAGATAAATGGGTGGGTGCAGGCAAATCCAATAGTGTGTTGTGTTTGGATACAATGACGTCAAAGAAGAAAAGTTGGAAGCACCCACAATAAACGAGAGATCCAGAAAGTGTTAACCAGGGAACAAAATAAGCACTGACAGCAAAGCGTTATGGCAAACGTAATACAATAAATAATATCTATTCAGAATGATGAATGTTTTCTTACGCTTTAATGGGCTGCTGAAACAGAGGTTTTTCTGCACAGGACGTAGATGCAAGTCAGAATAATAGTATCTCGCACTGTAAAGTCGGAACAAACTTTCCGGTGTGGTATCCTAGGCTACTTGCATCAATGGTTGTTCTTATTGTACATTTCCAAGAAAGATAAGCCCCAGCTGTTTTACTAAAGTGTACGAGTCTCTTTTTTTTCTTTTTACTACCCTTTCAAATAAGTAGTCCAAAGCTTCTGAGAATACATATATAATTATATCTAAGTAAGTTTTTTTCCCATCAAATGTTAGACAGAATCTGTGAAAATGCTCGTGAGCAAACGATATGTGAACGCTTATTGAGTTATAGACTCAAAGTGATAGTCAATTAATCGCCTTTTATCGTGCTCAATATAATTTGTTGGGTTTTCCTGTAAAAACTCTACGCTCTTCAGTTGATAAAATGTTATATTTAGATTGGCTAATTGGTAAAGTTTGGTTTCCCACAGTCTTTGTTTGAAACTAAGTGAATATAATAATATATGCATATATTATTTACCTCATATTTAACAAACTTTGAATGCAGGAGTCTTATATTATGCATTTCTCTTCCTTACATGGGTGAGTGAAAATTTGATCATCTTCAAAGTTTACAACAGGCCAATATTACGTTTAGCATATAAACATTTTCAAATACTTTTTACCATTCTTATTTAAAAATATAAAAATCAATTAATTCTTGCTACCATTAATTTTTTTTATAAAGAATTAGAGTTGAACTATTAGATAAAGGTATTGTAATTAATTTACTTGAATAAATAGACAAATTCGGATTACGTTAATTTATGTAGTTTTTTGGCTAAAAAATTTTTAAATATTCAAATTAAAAGCTACCTCTGTTATATAATCACTATTTCATTATACCGAAATTTAGTGCTACCTAGTAATGATAGAAAATGATTTGTGTATTACGGTAATGGATTTCTAAAGAGAAATATATAAAAACTATTACGCTATTATTCCAATGAAAAAGTTTAGAATTTTGAGCTCGGAAATTTCCGCTGGAAACTTAAAGAATAAAAAATATTCATGTTATTTTTCGATTAAGCCCAGTTTTTGTCTAGCATTATATATATACGGTAAAGTAATTAATTAAGATTAATAAGCATAAATGACTAATATATACACAGTTACAGTTTTAAAAATTCCATTTATATCAGTCAAACGCCTATTGTAATTGCTAACAAAATACATTTTCTCAACAGATAACAGTGAACCGTTTAATATTTTGTATACTATTCTGAGTGTACTAGCTGTATTTTTATTATTTTCATAAACTATTAGATCTGCGTAGAGACTAACCCAATGCTTGTAAAGAAGCTAAGAAATAAAATTATGCTTGTAGAGTACGTCATTCAAATCGCATTACAAATGAAACTATATTTGTGAAGCCTCCTCATAATCCAGGAAAGAAAAAGAGATGCATGTAAATCTAGGAAAATAACAATTCTCGTCGATATTCTATATCTAAGTCATGCTTTATTTAACATAACGATAAGAATGTAATATAATCACAAGTGGCCAATTTATAAGTATACCAAACTGATAGTTTGGTCATTTTTCTCCGTGATAATAGGCTGTACTCGGAGAGGCGGAAGTTGCCCGAAAGTTTTATTAATTTCTAGACCGTTCATCGAAGAGTCTGTTTGGCAAATGGTTAAAAAATGACACAAGAGAAGGGTGATGGCGAATCTCGATTGGACTGACATCCAGTGTTTGTACTGGCCAAGAAAACATGACTAAGAATCAACGCCTAGCTCTTCGTTTGCTAATCTCGCGCAAAGCTACACAAGGAGTATCTGCGCAGCTGTAATTATTTTTTTATTGATAGACTAGAGAGAAGGCTTTTGGTCAACGGCACCCTCGGGTTACTCTTGTCTTATGGAATTGTGAGCTAACTCATAGCGCTCCCATTGCATCAAAGTGTGGAGCAAGTTTTTTCTTTTCAGCAACCAATTATAATTATAACCCTTGGATTCACAGTCTGGATATACTAGCTAGTAGGCCTGTCAAGCTTTTTGAACAATGAGATACATTATCGTATTTGAAGAATTTTCGTCCATCACGGTAAGAATATAGCAACGTTCAGGTATACATTGGATCTTATCAACCATCTAATGGAATTAAAAGACCAAACCCCTGAAGCTATGCAGTTTCGTTTGTTTTTGATAGCAGAATCCTGGCCATTCTTGAATAAATTAGTCAATTGCCATATTTTCTGATATCTGTTTTCTAGTTTATTCACTTAAGTATAGTTTTAAATATACATATATTTATTCATTTCTAAAGTAAAATATCCCTAACACCTTTTCACGTACACTCTCGCCATCGGCTTCACTGCGCCGGAAATGATATGATTACAACAGTACAAAGAGAAAAAGACTAAACATTTCATGGAAAACCGGATGACCTTCATGATGTCACTAAATTCCTATTATATATCATTCATTCGATTACACGACCATTCCCAGTTTGCCCCTGAAGAAGAAAG